AGAGCTACCATCAAGCCCTGGGGTTTTTTTTTTCCCCCCCAAAAAAAAGAAAACTACTTTTCTTGTAATGCACCTCCCCACCACCTGCAGATAAAAGCTTTGTGGATTGCTCAGACTTAAAAAAAAAATAAATAAAATAAAATACAGTACTGACTGTGCACAAACTGAAGGCTGAAGGCTGCAAGCTGAAGAGGCTTGAGAGACCCAGCTGCGCCCTCACTCTTGTTCTGAAGACAGGGCAGCGCAAGTGGAGGATTCAGCCAAGTGTTTTCCAGTTTTTTTATCATGAAAAAGAAAAAAATTTTAAAAAGCAGCAATGATGCACAGCAGCAGGTTGTTGTCTGCTGCCTGAACGCTGCCGCGCCTTGGAAAATATTTTCCGAAGCTGGGGGGTCAGCACACGCTTTCCTCCAGGCCTGACTCCGCCTGACGGTGTAAGCAGTTTGGATGGCGCCCACCACTCAGCTACTGCGTTACAAATCCCTACACCACGTTTCTATAGTGGTCTACTATAAAAATAGGGGGGGGAAAAAAGAGGCAGGAGAGCCTTGCAGCCCGATGGGTGCCAGCCAGTCCGTGGGGTACGGCACTGCGGTCCCCCGAGACTCCCCACCTTGTCCATGCTCTCCCCAGGCTCCTGTGGGCAAGGGGCTGCAGGACAGGTGGCATCTCCCGCACCAGCGTTGCAAGCGTAGGTGCCCCCTCCTCCAAAACACCCCCTGACCCTCTTCCAGCAGCAACTGCAGCGCCCAGCAACTGCGACTGCTGCCTGAACTCGCCGAAGGCACCAGGGAGCGGGCACTCAGCAAAGCTCCCGTGGCCAGGGGAGCTGGGCATGGCGCTGAAGGGAGTGAAGCAGAGCAGCCTCAAAATGAGCAGCCTCAAAACGAGCAGAATAAAGACAGAAACCACTTCCCAACTTCGAGTCCTATAGGAATAAGTCAGAGCCAGCTGGCTGCAGCCCAGGAGGAAGTCCCCACCATGACGCCACCACGGCTGCTCACTGCTTCTTGAGGAAGGGGCTGAAAAGTCCCCAGTCAAACGCCAGCATGGCCTGGGGATTGGGCCGCTCCTTGGGCTTCTTGAAGTTATCCTTCTCGGTGCGGAGGGTCCTCAGCACCTCGACCGGGTCCGTCTTGCCTGTGAACTTCTGCAAGGGCTCCTCCCTGCAAGGAGACAGGCTCTGCTGTGACGGTAGGGGACGGGATGGGGACCCACCTCCCCATGGGGACCCCAGCACATGCCGGGATGGGCAATGGGGGCGTCACGTCCTCGTGCCAGGTGGCTGCTGGGGAGCCTGTCTGTGGGTACCCCATGCTGGGCAGTGCAGGCCCCCGCGTCCGGGCACCCTCCCCTCCCGCAGAGCCTGGATTTCCCACCAGTTAGTGAAGCCATGGGAGAGGGGATGACACTGGAAGGAAAAGGGGAGCAGAGTCTGGGGGTGGGAGCAGCCAGCCGGGGCATGCCCACCCCCAGCTCGGTTTGGGGTTGACCCACGGCAGGGCCCTTCACACCCCCCCAGGGACGGGTGCTGCTTACGTGACCCGCAGGAAGGGGTTGTAGAGGAACTCCTCCTGCAGCGTAGAGGGCACGGTGGGCAAGTCCTCCTCATCCCGCTGCTGCCGAGGAACCAGAGGCATTCAAAAACCTGCCGGCATCCAACACGCCCCCCCCTCCACCCCCACCCCGGCCAGGGCACAGCCACTTACTTTGGCCCACGCGAGTTTCTTCTTCACTATTTCATTCTCCGGTTCCACTTTCAAGGCGAACTTGAGGTTTCGGACGGTGCATTCGTGGCCACAGAACACCTTCTGCAACGCCAGCAGGAAGCACATGGCATCACGCATGCGCCTGGGGCCGGGTCTGACCCATCCCGGTCCCACTGCGGCCCCAGCCCTGGGGACAGGTGCTGCCCCCTGAGCAGTGCCAACCTCAAGCCCCCTCCTGGTTTTGGGGTCCCTCCCCACACTGGGGCTGAGATGCAGGGGCACTCACCGTCTCCTTGGGCAAAGCCCCCAGGATTTGGGTGAGGTTGGTGTACATCTGCTCTGCCGTCCCCTCGAAGAACTTCCCGCAGCCTCCCACAAACAGGGTGTCACCTGCGGGGAAAGGGGTCTAGGCAGGGAGGAGACGGGGTGCCAGGTGGCACCCCCCATGCCCTAGCTTCGCCCCGAGTGTGGGGGGGACAGGCAGCACACCCCATGTTCCCAGTACCCATGGGGTGCGTGGAGGCAGGGTGGGATACCTGAGAAGAGAGCCGGAGCGTCCGGGGAGCCGTCCTCCCACATGAAGTAGCACATGTGGCCCGAGGTGTGGCAGGGGGTGAAGAGGCACCTCACCCGGATGGCCCCGAACTGCAGGGAGAGAGGGTCAGGGCCCCGCTGGGGCCGCCCTGGCCCTGACGGGCAGCCAGACCCGCACGGCCTCCCCAGGCCCCACAGCATCGCCCGCCCGGGGCCCAGCGGGTCACAGGCGTGCCGGGGGACGGTGGTTTGGGTGAGTCCCAGGTTGCACGTGTCTGCTTCGATGGCGTTTAGCCGCAGAGCTTCAGGAGAGAGTTGGGTCCCCCAGCGCAAACCCAAATGGGCTGGGAACAGGACGAGGTTTCTCCTCCAGTCCAGTGCTCCATCCCAGCCCCGAATCCACAGTGCTGAACCCACAACCGGCCCAGGGCACGGGGAGCCCAAGCTCGGCCGCACCGCTGAGGGCTGCACCATCGCCCAGCTCCACTCCCCCCTGTCCCAGCACCACACCGGCTGCCCCATGGGGCCAAGCCTCGGGGCGCTCCTGCAGCCCTATGGCCACGCACCGTCAGCTCTTGGTCGTGGGTCACCTTGTGCGTCAGGGCCCCAATCCGCTCATCGGCGCCGTACACCTGCAGGCCGGGGCACAGCCGTGCCAGCTCCTCGTTGCCCCTCGCGTGGTCCCTGCGCCGGCAGAGGAGGGAATGGGCACCCAGCCCCACACCGGGCATGGCTGCCCCGGACCCCCGCTCCTGCTGGCAGCACTTACAGGTGGTGGTGGGTGGTGAGGATGGCTCTGAGCACCACGCCCTCCTTCCTGATGATCTCCAGCAACTGAAACGGACCCGGAGCAGAAGGAAGTGAGCACGCAGAGAGGAGGTGACACACGCACCATGCCTGTCCCAGCGCAGGATCCGTCCCACACAGCACCGCTCTGCAGGCGAGAGGCCCGGCAGACCAGGGCAGAGAAAAGCACTCAAAACCACCCGCTGAGCAGCGAAGGGATGAGGGTGGGACGAAGGCTCGGCTCCCCGTGCCCCACCCTGTCGCCAGAGCGGAGCAGGCGGACGGGAGCGCGCTGCTCCCCCAGGGACGGCAGCAGTCACTTCACAGCCGGTGCTTTCGCAGCGGAGGGCGC